TGGAAACCATTCTTGCTTCCACATCTGTACAGCTTCATTCATTGCCTTATAAAGTCCTACCTTTCTCTTTCTGAGAATCCATCAGTCAAATCTACCGTAATGGCATCTTCAAAAGGCCCTTTCCTGCTATTCTTAACAACCAATTAGGCAAATCAGAGATCTAAACCTGTTAATTGCTTAATGCAATGTGCTGTGACATGCACCGCACTTGGTTCAGAATGGGTCAGTCGTGGCTGTAACCTTAATCTGCTCCATCAAGTGTACCAGATGCATAATAAATTGGGCTTCATTTCTGGTGTCTAAAGAGATAGAGCTTGGATTGTCTCTTCCAATATACACATTCCTATCTGGTGCCTCTATGTAATGAATCAACCTCTTGAGAAGTTTACATGGTGCTACTAAGTAAAGATACTTTGGTTTACCCAAGTTTTTTTTTTAATAATTCACCTAGGCACGGCATATAACCTGTGCTTCCTATTTTGTTTTATTGGTTTTTATACTTGCTGCATGTAATAAGGAGAAAATGTTTTTCCACTTATAAACAAAGCTGGTCACGAAGCCAAGATGGTAAGTATAGCAATCCCCAAGGGAGGTTTTCCATCCATACACTGGTGCTTATGGCTACCACTTTGATGGCTGGGGCCTAAGAACACCAAATCCACATCCAACTTTCTCTTAAATTTGATCCAGACCATTAGAATCTCTCTGCCTAATTCTTATGGGAAAACTATGAAATCATGAAAACACAACATTGAATTTATTAACCCCGGAGGATGCAGAATATTTGTGGCTGGTAAATACAAATAACTCTTGAGCATCACTATTCACACGAGGGACCGTTGCTTGGCACCCATTCAGAATTAAACTTCATTGCACCGTAACTAACACGGCTACGGTGGCGTCTGACTGCCATTAGAAAGTAATTCAGCAATTCTGGGAGTTGAAGTCCACAAGTCTTAAAGTCGCCATGGTTGGAGATCCCTTCTCAAGAGGACAAACCTTCAATCGGATAAGGTACTAAGTATGACAACTCCCTTTTTAAACTGAGACAAAAAATGTTAAGACATTAATTGTTAGCATATTAATAGCAGTAATGAAGAAAATTCAGACTGATGATAACAGCAGCAGAATAACTATAGAATCCAGTTCAAAATTTGTGATTTCTCAGATAAAGTTCAGTAACCAGCTTTGATGGTACATTCAACTCAACTTTGGTAAATAACTGCATTTATTCGAGAGAGGAAATGATTATTTTAGATTGAAGACAAAGATTTGCATATTTTTTAAATAATATAATGAAAAACAAAAATAAGGAAGCTCTAAACATTCTGAATTATTTGATCACAATAAAATGGGGATGTGGAAGATCCTTCCCATTTGTGAATATACATACTCACTTATCTTGACTGGCAAGGAAAATAAACCATTAATAGTTTCAATAGGGAAATGTGGACTTGATCGTGATTATATGTACAGCTTGATGTGGGCCAGTGGTAAGATTTCAATCAAGTCCATCTCTTTTCAAAATCATCTTGACTTCCTGTAATTGTTTTTTTTAAGTTTCATTCAGGTGTTTTATGCTTGAAGGTTTGCAAGTGCAAGCAATTCTTGGTTTATGGTCACTGATGCAAGACTTAAGATTGCATCTGTTCTGGATGGTTCAGTTTTAATACACAAGCAGGAAGGAATTTTTTTTTTAAAAAAAGATACCAATATGAAAAGATCCTGGATAAAAGGTTACTTTTCCATATTGCTACTTTCTAAAATTATCAATCCACTCATCTTCATCATGCTATTTTCTTTTGAGCTAAGCAACATTATACAAAGTGGGAAAAAAGCAAGTAAAAGAAATTACAGTAGGAGAGAAGGTGAGGCATGAGGGAAATCTAGATTTACTGTATGTCTGTTAATTAAACTTCAATGTAACAATCCCTGAAAACCATTCTTATTCCTCCTATAGCCATTCACTACCTTTTACACTGTTTGTTGTTTCTTAAACCTCTTTTGAGGATCATTTTTCCTGTTTTAACTCATTCAGTCTTTGTATATTTGTAGTGCAATCTGATTCTAATTCAATCTTTTTATATGACTGAACCATCTCAGTGTTAATTCTTTTGTCCTGATACTCATCTCTATATATAGCATCTACATTCATTCAGCACCCATTCATTCTTGAACCTGCTTTACCACAGGTAAATTAACCAATTAACCCATTCCCACTACGTCAACTTATTTCTATTTTATAGAGGGTATGTCTCTATTGACATAGCCGGCTCTCATTTCCATAGACAGAAATGCACGGAATCGCTTCTTTCAACCATCATAACACACACACAGACACACACTAATAGTACCCACTATCTTTCTGCTGGCATTTGCAACTGTTAAAACTTCTGCATCCATTTTCTCATCTCTGGTAAGCATTCGAGAGCCAGTTGTGTCTAAGGTACTGGAGTGATAGCATGGGGAGTTAGAATTCTAGAAGTCAGCTGGGTGTCTTTGGGCCAATCACTCTCTTACAGCCCTAGGAAGAAGGCAATGGCAAATGTCTATGGAGATTCTCAGGCATCCAAATCATGGTTGTCCCAAAGATACTTCTGCAAGAGGCAACTGGACTGTCTGATTTTTCTTTGAAGACATTTCGCTTCTCATCCAAGAAGCTTCCAATAATCAGTCAGAATTGAAGCAGCTTCTTGGATGAGCAGGGAAACGTCTTCAAGAAAACACGAGGTCCAGTCGCCTTTTGAAAAAAGCACCTTTGGACACAGCAAATACTGGCAAGAAAATTGCTTGTCCATATATTTGCTAGGAATCAAATCTAACTAGATATCAGGAAAAAAAGCACTTGACCAATTTTGTTTACACACTCTGGATTTTTTGGGGGGGGCGGGGTCACTTTTGTATAATTTGCAACTTTTCATTCCATTTTCCATTGACCAACACTACCTTCACCTTCGAGGAGCTGATTTTCAGATTCATGGTCCTAGTTGCATCCACACAACCTATCTAAATCATTTAGGTTCTCAGACCACGAAACTAGTGTCAGCAGACAAAAGGATGCACACATTCATGTGCCCAATAAACCCCGTGAGCATCACCGCCATCATTCCTTACCCATTACCCAGAAATACATAAAAACAATTCAAACCTTTTTTTTCTTTTCTCTTGATATTGGAGTCAACTATTCGCTCAATATTTTATTAATTCTTCCGCTTGTTTTGTGAAATTTCAACATATAGTACTGTTTTCACCTTCTCTACCCACAAAATATTTCACAATTCGAGCCTACTGAATTTATCTTTTTTTTTTTTTTCAAATTAAACCAATGTACAAAAAGATTTCTTTCTCAAATTCATACATACCCTGTTCACTGTAAAAAAGTAAATATTGGTGACTCGGATGCCGAGGTGCAATTACTAGCAGAAACCCTAACTACAGGTAGTCCTCGACTTACAACAGTTAGCTTAGTGACCAAAGTTACAACAGCACTGAAAAAAATGACCGTTTTTCACACCTACAACTACTGCAGCATTCCCATGGCCACATGATCAAAATTCAGGCATATGGCAACTGACTCATATTTATGGCAATTAGTGTCCTGGATCACTAACTGTGTGACCCTCTTATAAGCCAGATTCACTTAACTGTGTTAACTTATTTAACAACTGCAGGGATTCTCTTAACAAATGTCTCACTTAGCAACAGAAAATGTTGGCCTCAAGTTGAGGACTACCTGTAACTCTTTGTTGAAATGTGTAAGTTTTAAGGAGTGCTGGCGTTTCCACTGCTGCTGCTCCAAAATGGGAAGGAAGAACAGTGATGTGACTTTTAATCTTTGGAAACAAGCCCAGCATAAAAGAACATTTTGTGCAGAATTTGGTATATCACTCAAGAATGATGCTAGTTTGGAAATCCAGATCATCTCAACATTCAAACTTGTATGTATTTAATAGATGGCCAAACATATAATAAACCTGAACAGCTTTTATAGTTTTGAACAAAATTCTTATGCTGGCTTCTAGAAAAGCCATTCATATTTATCTTAACCTTGTAAAAGACTTTGGGGCTGTTTCCAAAGATATTAACATTAAAAATGCTTCTATTGTATTTGATTCTTGCATGGAACAAAATTGTTCACTAAAATTCCTTATGGCTAAGTGGTGATAAAAGATTTGAATACTGCAGGATTAAACCCATCCCGATTGAATATATTCAAGCTAACATTTTACCATGAAAACAAAAAGATGAAGACATTTGATATACATTCAAACTGTAGTTATTTAAGTGCTCTAGTTTGGAAAGGAAACAGCCGCTTTACAACCCAATCAGAATAATGGGTTATTTGGTATCCTTCTTCTTTAGCTTTTCTTGACCTCGGGCAGTTTTTTCCCCAAACTTCTGACTATGGTTAACTTTGAATTGAAGAAAATATGCATGCAATATGTACTTCAGATCCCATCAGCTCCAGCTAGTTCAAAGACAATTAATATGAGAACACTGAAAAATATATATGGAGGGCACCATGTTACTTGTATTTGTCTTAATGCAAAGACTGTAATATGCTACATCAGAGGTCTTCAAACTTGGCAACTTTAAGACTTGTGGACTTCAACTACCAGAATTCTCCAGCTGGGAGTTAAAGTCCACAAGTCTTAAAGTTGCCAAGTTTGGGGACCCCTGTGCAATATCCACACTAATGCACCCAAAATCAAGAAGGATCCCAAACATGAAAAGTTACAGTCACATTCATAATGGAAAACCTCTACATGTTACAGGGAAGTGTTACCTTTAAAATTCAGTGAAAAAAATAGCAAAATCCCACCAATTCAAGGGACTTGAAATTTGGCATTTTTAAAGGTGCTTATTATGACTCACATAACTTTAGATAAACATAAGCATTTTATTCAATATACTTCCATATATTTATTTTATTTTTTATTTATATATTTAAACAATTTATATGGCCGCCCATCTCACAAAAGTGACTTAATACACCCAACACAGTGACAAGAATGAAACTTTTAATCAGTTTTAAGTGGAGTTTTAACACTAAGATAAAGGGCTGTTAACACAATAACAAACGGACATCTGATTCATATGAGACATTAACCTGTACATGTCATTTTTCTTGTTGTGTGCATAGCATTACACACAGAGCCACTGTTGCACAGCACAATAGTATCTGAAGAGGCTGAATCAGAATAAGGCTGCTTAAATAGGTTTTTTTTAAGAGTGTGTGTGTGTGTGTGTGTGTGTGTGTTCTGTATGAAAACAGACTGAGAATTTTGAACTGGCAGAATAAAGAGGCAGCTCTACTCAAGCACTGCAATTAAAGCCTCTGTTCAGTGCGCAGTTCCACCCCTTCCATCTGCATGCATGACACATCTGAACAGTTATTTTTTTAAAAAAAGGTAAACGAGGCACTTTGTGGCAACCACAGGCATCGTTAACATATTGCACGTTGCTAGAATTTAAACACGGAACTGTACACTGGCACCCTTAAAACTTACTCCTTCCTTTCTTCCTTCCCTTAAAGCTGAAGGAAATTGGTGCTGCATATAAACGGACCTTTCAGATTACAACCATGCCACAGCAAGAAACCCTTGGTGCTAATTTACACAACTGCCCTTTAACGATTGTGACAAAACTACTGGAAGTTTAGACTACAGATGAGGAGGGATGGCACAGGGCCTAACAGTAAGCTCCTGTCAAAATGCCTTCAAGTAATAATTTTAGACATGTAAGCTACTGTACATCCGAGAATTTAAGCACACAGTCCAGAAACTCAAGAAATTACCAATGGAGAATGCATTTTCACGCCAATGATGACTACTGTTATAAAGTTTGAATTAGGATCCAAACCTTTCAGTCAGAGGAATTCTTGTCATGTTCTATGGGATGGTAGCTGAAATTAACTATAGGAGAGTATGCATTATATATATGTGTTATACATACATATATATGTATATATAAATAATGACATTTTCCTTTCCAATGACTATACCATAAAAACATAAGCAAGGCTTCTCAGAATTACTGACACATTCAAAATCCAAAACCCTTACTCAGACCTTCACACTCCAAAGGAAAAACAACAGTGCAAAAAGCCATTCAACAATTTCCAATCTGGAGTTCCCTGCCAAACAGCAGAACTGTACAAGACATTGAACACTGTCAACATCCAAAATATTCTTAAAGCACTAACTTTTTTTTTTTTTTTAGGTAGCTAATGTTGCTGGCAAAATTGTCAAATGAAAGACAAGTTCAATGCAGTTCCCTGGACAAAAAACCAGAGGTAATTCTGAAGTTGCCTCTTGCCAATCAAATCTTTTGTATTGCAGCACTGGATCAACTTTTGGGAAGCCTGAACATTAGCGGGTTTTTTTTGTTGTTAAAGTTTACATAATGGATGAAAGCTATGGTTTTTGTGCAGCTACATGCAAGCTTACTAAAAATCGGTATAAAAATTATAGGCACAGAACTACACACAGGATTAGGAAAGATAACAAAATTCACCAATGAATGTTGAAGGAGCAAGTTTGCTCCTTTGTCCAGTATTCAGCCTGAGTTTCGCCTTGACTAGTTGCCACTACTATCTTGTTATTAATGCTAATGGACTGGCACAATGGATTTCAAATTTGTTCACTCAAGTGGGATAATTAATAATGAATATGGTAACCAATAAGCAAGCAGGTTTTTACACACAAAAAATCAAAATGGCAATTCCATGTTTAGAAAGACAAGGGGGGGGGGGGGTTGTTTGTTGGGGTTTTTTTTAGACATAATATTGCTCTGACATTTATCATCCAAAGCTTGGGAATGGCAATTATAACACACAAAACAATTTTGTAGGCCCACCTCTGCTAGATAACCATCACATTGGTATGATTAAGTTATTATTGTAGCCCTCTGCAGGCAATTAGACTGCAACATGCAAACAGGTGCACTCAAATTATCCCAAGGGTGAGGGTACACAGGTAAGCATCACCCATATCTTCCCCATGGAAGATTTGCAAGTGCTGTTGTGTTCACCTGGAGATACCTGCAACTCAAGGACTCCAGCCTTATCAAGCTTTCCAAACATTGAACAGTAAACTACATTCTTTGCAGCACTTACAACTCCCTACGTATCTTAAGTGACTACAGGTGTATGTGAAATTCTGCAGAGCAGCTAGGTGTGCAGGGATGTAGGGTGGAGCCTGTATGCACACCCCTTCATCCTTTTTAACTGTCATGTATGCAAGCTGAAAATCTAGTTTGTTTCAAACCATATTTTTTTAATCCCTTCATTTATAGAGCTTTTACGATGCCATTGAAGGTTCATTCTTGTTCCCCTCCAGCTGCCTTTTCTAGCACCATTATGCTTAAAAAATAATAATAAAATGCACAAACAAGCAGTGACAGCGGCATTTCCTCAAATGTCCAGGATTTATTACTGTAGCATGCGAAAGAGGTGCATGTAAGCTAGAAATGATACACAGTCCAGGGTCCAGCACAAAACATTCCTTTCTCAGCTTCTCCTTCCACACTCCTATCCATGGTACATGCATTTGAATGTAGTAAAACCCAGTAACTTCTCTGAGCCAACTGCAGACTTATCTGTTGCCACAAAAGTGCAAAGAAAGGGGCAGGATGTGAACCTGTGTATTAGAAAGAGCTTTACAGGAACTTCATTGGTGACAGAACACAAAAGGAAGATTCCTACGTATACACATCAGATCTGTCTCCACTTTTATAAAACTGGAATCAAATGGGAAAGTGCCATTTTTGTGTATTCCTAATTGAAATTTCAATGTCCTCTTGACACCAAAAGGTATATACATAACATAGCTACGTAACCTTTTTTTTTTTTTCCTTGTTTTCAATGGGAGAAGTGTCAAGCCAAAGGCTTAATAGGGCAAAATGAGATTGGTCAGGTAAAGAACTGTTCCTACAACAGATAATTCTGACACAATGTCCTATTGCCATTTCAAAAGGTCCATAATTCAGTTTATTCAAGTTTTCTTCTTTGTGGTAGTTTTTCCCAAATAAAAAAAAAAATCAGACTTTAGTAATCTGCGTATGCTGATCTTCATCAAAAGGTTCGTTCTCTGGATCAGAGTCAGTGGTGTCAGAATACCTATAGTGATCAGGTTCATTATCACTAACATCCGGTGTTACTGAAGTTGAGCTGCTAGCTTCTGGGTTTGATGGCTCTTCTACTGTTTTTGTGAAAAATAGCTTCACCTAGAAAAAGCAGGACAACAAATTAGTATATATGTGCTTAAAAGAACTATGTCTGCCCCATTAAAAGCAAATGAAATGCAATGCAATGATGTAATACATAAATATATATTTAATTAAGTACAAACTAAAATGTGCGCTCTAATGCTTCACAAAAAGCAATGGAAACCGGGAAAGCAGCATCAATTATGACAAAGACTGTATTGATTTAAACATTCCCCTTAATTTCAAGGTGCACATTTCTTTTCTGTGCACTTTGTGGCTCAGATGTTTGGCCAGAACGGGCCTGCATTTGGTCAATTGAAGTGCCAAACATCTTCCTTGTTCTGGGCTTCAGCTGAGTCAAATCTGGAGACATCTTACAAAGTGTGTACAGTAATACCGATGCACCTTTTCCCCTCTCTCTTCCTCTTGATTCTGACAAGTGTTTGGAGCCTGAAGGCTCACTGGGATTTTTTACAGCAAACAAGGGAACAAAATAACATTCCTTCATGACACAAATGTGTGCTTATGCACTCCAAATTAAAAGAAAGCTCATTTTCTTTCCAAAACTTTATTGAACAAAATTCAATTAAGACTGAGTTATGCCAAAATAGGCAGGATGGGTTTTCCAGCATAGATAATATAGATTTGTATATTATATTTGTATATTTGTATATGTGACCACACTCAACTATTGGCTCAAGTGAAGTATGACGGATGATTTTCAGTCCACATGGAAAAGGGCAGTGACAACTAAAATCTCATCCTTAGGCTTCTCTCCATATCTACTCAGAATGGGATATGATTAAGCTGAAGCCTTCATGTGTGTACAGACATAAAGCACCAATTGGATCTAGCTAGGTCCTCAGCCTTTATTGCCGGCGAATCCAACATCTACTTAACTAATCTCAAATTGCCTGACTACCTGATTGCACAATGTCATGGCCTCCCCTCAACTGTCCTTGAAGGTTGATAAAGGAAGAGAGACAATGCATTTGTGACACACAGAAACAACAGAGCATGGATATCTCCCAGTGCCTGCATTATAGAGGCATTTGTATTAGCCTCATCTTGCTGTTATTGTATAAATACCCAGGGCAGACAGAATAATTCTATACCCCTTTCCTGCTCTCAGATATTGCTACAACAGATAAGATTGCCAGATTCCTGCAATGCAGCATTTAAAATTCATCAGATCATAACTTGTGCCATAAACTTAATGAGCATCTGGTTTGTCAATCCAGACTGCTCTGTATTGTGATAGACTTAGTCTGCCATATAGTAATCCTTATGCTCCTGTATACCCATCTAATAATCTCATCTCTTTTTAGATCTGTTTAATACATAACTTTGTTTTAGATTTTCATTAGTTTCTAGCCTTTGATGCACTTTCTATGCTTTTTAATTGACATTCATTTTATGCTAGTCTTTGACCATAATAACGATTTGATATACTAACATTTAAAAATCCAGTATTTTAGTGTTAAAAGTAAACTCATTTGTTTGTTTACATAAAGACATTGTTTATTATTAAAAAACATAGATACTGCGGAATATCCAATGCACATACTAATCTGCAGCCCTTCATTATTAGAGTAAATCTAAATTCAAGAAACTAACTACAACATCTAGGCTAACTTGGACTTTTTATTTCTTTGCTTGTTCATTTTTATACCACTTTGACTTTTATAGAATAAAAAACCTGCATACCTCCATGTAACATTCTGGCAGATCCTAATTAAAGGACCATCCAATTTTAAATATTACTTGGGTAAATTCATTATTTGTTTTACCCCCAAACATTTTGATGGTAAGGTTGTGAATGGGTTGCTTTCCTTTATTTGAATTATCATCTGTAAAAGTCAATGGATGACTCTGTTCTGATGTCTTCCAGAATTTACAAAACTATTTTCACCTTCACCCTCATATCACTGCCTGCAACTAGATGCACCTGGCACCTACCAGTTTCTAAAACTCAATCTGAAAGAACACTGAAAACCAAGTAGGGAAGAAAGATAAGATTGTTTGATTTCACAGATGACCACTTGAAGAAGTGCAGCTACAGGTAAGCAACCAGTTATTCCCCACTGTGACCTGTGATTCACATACATGAGTAAGGAGTAAACAATTTGAAAGGAGAAGAGTGGTGACATAAAGCAACAAAAGAAAGGATGGTCCTTCCATAGTTCAGCCTATATGGCCAACTAGCAGAATTCTGCTAGTGGAACTATCTCAGAAGATTGATGACTCTTGTGGAGTGAACACAAATCAGAAAGGAACATAGTAAAGCTTGTAGCTAAGCTTCATTGTCATCACTATTCATTTTAAAAACACAATGAACATAGTTCTGCTTGCAGGTATGTAGTGCTGGATCAGATGGGTATCTTCAATATTGCCAGTCAAGACATAATATCCCCTACCAGCAGCGCCTATGGGTTCACTCAGACACTGAACTTAAAAAGTCACTGGCAGAGTTGTTACCAAATAAAACACATTTTCAACATTGTGTAGCACTGAGGTTTGTGTCCTTGTTTAGCTATCAGACTTCCATGGAAATGCCCTAACCTTAACCAGAAAATCCTGTTAGAGCTTCGTGGCGCAGTGGTTAGAGTGCAGTACTGCAGGCTACTTCTGCTGCAGCCAGCTGCCTGCAATGTGGCAGATCGAATCTCACCAGGCTCAAGATTGATTTAGCCTTCCATCCTTCTGAGGTGGGTAAAATGAGGACCCAGATTGTTGGGGCCAATATGCTGACTCTGGAAATCGCTTAGAGAGGGCTGTAAAGCACTATACAGCAGTATATAAGTCTTACTGCTATTGCTATATAGGCATGCCTTACAAGATTTGGTACGCCTCTCAAAATTTTGAGGGGTTTTTAATGCATCTTGACATTTACAGTTTGATCCAGAAAGTTCAGAACATTTTTGGAGAGGATCTATGTGGAAGGAACTGTCTGAAATTATCCATCACTGGATAATTCTTTGATGCAAGGCAGAATTTGCCAACCTTAAAACCTGATAATACAACCATAATTCATGAATGAGAAGAACAATTGTGACAAACCTGCTTAGTGAATGCCTGGCAATGTCTACTGCACAAGCTTCACCAAGACAGAAAAGCAGAGCTTATGCCCAATCCAAGAAGGAACCCTGTTCCCACAGCATTAGAACCTGGGAAGCCACAGGCATAGCGCGCTGATGAACAACTCAAGATGTCTGCTGAGAAAAATCAGGAAAGGATAAATAATACTGGCAGGAAGCAGAAAGAATATCAGGTCAATAGCAAGTGTACTTATTACTGTGGCAGTTTAAAAGAAGAGGGATGAGTTGAAGCTTAGCCTATCTGCATGGTATGTGGGGAGATGGAATTATCACAAAATAATTCTGTAAGCTCTAGAAAGTTATGAACAGGCCTCTGGGCAGGCCCATAAGCCAACTATGTGAATCACAGAGACCACAATGTACAACATCAATTGCACACAGTTTACGTTACATTACTTGATTGCTTTGAAAATACTTACTCTAAAGTTTGGAGAAAAATATCGATTTGCTTTGTCTTTATTTGCCTTGTCCAAATCATTTTTTGTTAGTGTAAGGATTAAATATTCCTTGTCATTATCCGAACGCTCTGTACTCAAAATGCCATCAAGTTCCTGATCTCCAAGAAGACTTCCATTTTCTACTTTGTCAGAGTTTTCTTCCAGTCCTGGTATGAAGAATGTATTGACCCAGAAATGAAACATTTTGTCCTAAAGGTAAAAAAAAGGAGCTTGTTTTAACATGATATAGCACAATAACCACCTACTTACAGTCTTGGGTTTAACAGTACAAACATAGGCAAAACCACAATGTATCCGCAAATTTTTCCAATGAGGAGAGATCTGCTTCCCGTTTGGTTTCCGTTTTAGCAAACAGCTACTCTCGGCTTATAATCTACCCTGCTTCTATTGGACTTGAATATTTTGATTTTGTTCCTTCAGTAACTGGGTTATTATTGAATTAAAGGTTTTTCCTCTTTCATGATTTGACAGTTTAAAATTGGTTAGGGCTGGATGGAAGGTGCCTTCTAACTGACACCAAACTGAAGTACTTATGCACAGCATTTCCTGAGAAGAGAGAAATCGCTTTGTAATTGGCATTTCAAAATCAGCCTGGTGTAAATACGTTCGTAGTATCTCCCCAATGCAACCCTGGATTAAAAGGTGAATTACAAATTAGAATGCATACATTCACAAACTTTATATCCTGGTCCTGCTAACTTGGGATTAATTGTGTTCATGTGTGACCAGAAACATATTAAGCAAAGACACAGCAAGCTAAGCAAAGTTAAGCAATGACCCAAATCGGTGATCCTCTCTCCTTGCAGGTGCAGCTCTACTGGAGCTGCGCTAATGGTATTCTGTTGTGTTTGCTGTATTCTTGCTTTTTATGGTAATCTACAGACTCTTGTGAGCCTAGAGAAATCCAGAGACACCAGCTCTAATGTCAAAGAGCTGAGTCAGAAAACTGGGGATCTCAGCAGAGGCTGGCTTTTTATAGTGGCAGACTCAGCTCGATGACATCAGAGGGTGGAGTTATATCCCAGCGCTGGACTCTCGAAGCAGCGTGGTGGAGAATGGACCTAGACAATGAACTGTTCTCTTACAAAATCTCCAAGGGGGGAAACGTTTGATTTATGCTAAACCTAATTATTTAGTCAAGAATATACTGGGGTGCCTTGATAATTACACAGTGAGGTTAAATCAGTCATCAGTTCCCCATCTAATTTCTTTAAATTTTCCTGATAGCAAGTTATGCCATGAGCAACTAAACTATGGAACTAATGATGGATAATACTGACATGGCAGATACATATATTGGAATTGTTTGTGTTCTCTGAACTTGGTTGGTTACTTGCAGATGTTAGTGACCATTTGAAGTAACAACGGAATTGAAAAAGGTGGCTTAATGACTTTTACAGCATCCTCATTGTCACATGATCAAAATTCAGACACTTGGCAACACACTCATATTTATGACGTTTGCTATGTACCAGAGACACGTGATCACCTTTTTCTACCTTCTGACAAGCAAAGTCACTCAACAACCGGGTTATTAACTTAGCGACTGCAATGATTCACTTAACAACTGTGGCAAGAGGTAACAAACATCTCACTTAGCAATAAAAATGCTGGGCCTAATTTGGGTTGTAAGTCTAGGGATATCTGTATCATCAGTGTGAGGATTTTTTTTTCCTATTAAAACATGAGCTAGGAGGTGCGATATTTGCCTCTTATAAAAAGGAGGCACTGAATGAATGTTTATAACCTTTCAACTTTGCAAACTTCATGGACCTCAGAAACAATTCTAACAGGTAAGAATTGTGATAACACTTTTAAGTAAAACAAAAATAAATCTAATATAAAGATTGTCTATCCCTCCTTCATTCCTGCTGGAATCAAAGATTACTGACAACTTACTCTGAGTGCAGTATTTTTTTAAAAAATATCTATGGCAGCATATAAAACCTCTAATTAAATTAAAATTTAATCAATTAAAAATTATGCTAAGCTAATTTTAAAAAATGCAGTCAATTCGCCATTGTAAAGTAAATGATAACTTTAAAATGTGTAAAAGTAGTCCTCGGCTTACAACATTCATTTAGAGATTCTTCAAGGTTATAATGGCACTGAAAAAAAGAGACCTATGATCACTTTTCCACATGTACGACCGTTGTAGCATCCCCAGGGTCATATGATCAAAAACTAGATATTTGGAAATTGACTCATATCTATGACAGTTTCAGTGTCTCCTTTTGTGACTTCCTGTCAAGCAAAATCAATAGCGAAGCAAGATTCACTTAACTAATGTGTTACTAACTTAATAGCAATGATTCACTTAACAACTGTGGCAAGAAAGGTCATAAAATGGGGCAAATTTCACTTAACAACTGTCTCGCAACAGAAATTTTGGGCTCAATTGTGCTTGTAGGTCGAAGACTACCTGTATGCCTTGTGCAGTACTTTTCTATTTAGCAAACACGAAAGATACTAATATTTTTAAACATGATATTGATAATAACTGATCCAAGGCATTCCAGAGTGGCACATACCATCCATCATCCTACTGAAATACATTTCAAGAACATAAAGCAAAAGGATAATATTAAACTATCAAAATATCTCTAAAATTGATTGAAAATTTAATATTTAGTTACTAAGGTAGCTGCACTGCTCACCCATCAAGACAGCAGTCTTTTATTATGATATAGTTTTGAGTATACAGGGTATTAAATTTTCTACAACCCTCTCAATCAGGCCTGGCCTTAGACCCAAAACTCCCTATAAATCCAGGTTGACATTTGCCTAATAAATTAGCATTAGTAAAGCAAATTTGGAGAGATTTTTCCCTCCTGAAGATGATAAACTCATCACTGAGAAACGGTATTCTCCCATGCCCATATGTGCACCAGTGAAGAATGAGAATATTTAATTGTTCAAGCCTGTCCAGAAATTGCAAATTATCTCTAGACTTTTTTACAAGCAAAAACTGATGCACGCTAGCTGGGGAATTCTGAGAGCTGAAGTCCACATATCTTGAAGTTGCCAAAGTTGAGAAACACTGGCATAAAAGGGATTAATAACAAATGCTAATGTTTATTGAGGAAGGAATGTGCATGCCCTATTTATGTTATGTATTATTCAATGTTATCATCTTTGACAGATTTATGTTTTTGCCATTTACACTTTTTCAATTCTACATTCCCCAAATAATTTATATTACTAGCTAGAAAACATATTTACAATTTCCCACTACTTATCCCTATATTTGCTTGATTTGAAATGACTTTTCTCTTATTGCTGTTTTTCAAGTCAGTGACGCTATGTAATATTTTTAAGGTGCATATTATTAAATGAAAGACATATGGTACAAAATACCTATTCATTATTAGTAATAAATCCATATGAAGGGCAACACCAGCTAAAGAACTTGACAGCTGGAATTTCACATTGTTGTGAAGAAATAATAAAAAACAAACAAATGAAGAATAGAAAAGAGACATGACAAGGGTAAGTATTAGACAGCCAGTACATTAAAAACAAAAATAGCAGCCCCTGGCAATGGCTAAGAGCAGGAAAGTTGAAGAAAGAGACAGAGGGGTTAATTCTGGCTTCATAAGAGCAAACGTATAGCAAGCCAGAATGAAGAAGACAGCTATAGCTAGCAGTTGCCACCTCTGCAAAAAAGCTGAAGAAACAGCGGCCCACCTAGTTAGCTGCTACAAGATGACACAGATGGACTATAAAAAATGGCATAGCAATGTAGCAACCATGGTAGGGCACATTGGAAGATCTGCAAGAAATACCATTTGCTTGCAAGCAACAACTAACAGGACCCCAAAATAGACAAAGTGATAAAAAAATGAAGAAGCTAAAGCGCTCTGGGATTTTATAGTTCAAGCAGACAAGCACCTGCCACACAACAGCCCAGATTGTCGATAAGAAAGACAAAGATTATCCAAGTCTGGATAGTGGATGTGGCAAAAGCCAGAGAAAGAACTGGAGAAAATCACAAAATGAAAAGACCTGAAAATAGAAGTAGAATTAATGTGTCAAAAAAGCAAAGATAGTACCAATAATAATAGATGCCTTAGACACAATCATTTGAATACCACTGGCATTGACAAAATTTACTTTCAACCGCTTGTATCCTGAGACGGCATCTTCAAGAGCATCAAACAAGAGCATCCGTCTATCCCAGGTCTTTGGGAAGGACTCGATAGGTGGATAATCCTTTCCAGAAGGAATCCCAAGTGAATAAATGCCCACAATTTTCTCAAGATTCGCTGTGACATCTGATTTTGTTTCCCTCTTTATACAAGAAATGATCAGATTCACATGGAAAGTCTGATCAGATGCCAGGAAGATTGACCACACATGCTATTTATCCTTAGTTGGGATCCAGCTTTCTTGCACAAGCAGAAGGCCAATGCTCCTGCTGAAATATCCTGCCTGCTTTCCACAGGGTCTTTGATCCTTAGGAATAGCTTTGGGGAGCATATGCACCCAAAGGGAAGAAATCTATCTGAAACCCCCAAAGCTCTTTTCTAGATTCAACTAACCCCCAAAGCTCTTTTCTAGATTCAACTACTATCTGTAGACTTTGTCATGCAACCTAATCACTAATTACTAAAGTAAACCAATTTTCTTGAGGTCTCCCACTTTCCCCCCAGAATCAGTCTGAAAAAGAAAAATCAGCTTATTCTGGTAAGGACTGGTTGCATCCTCTCGCTTCACTTCAAATAAGTCCCATTCTGCCAAGCACTTTATGCATAAATGGGACTTATGAATAACCAATTTATATACTGCTGTTACATAAACTTTGATGACTGGAAATTTGCAGAATAACTGCAATAGTTGGACATTTATACAGGAGCAATAGCTAGGAGTATTTTCTCCCAAATTCATCTAATTATAAAACAGCAATCCTTTTAGATTTTGTAAATAAGCTAAAATGTTGCAGCAGTTGTTTATTCTACAAGAATGTTGGAAAACGTCACATGCTGCAAATTAAAAGTTGTAAAATGGAAATTTCATGAAATTTAAAACAGAATGGCTTCTTTAGTGGCTTTCCAAAACATTTCAAACAATAGAAAGTGGATAAATATTACACATATGCTTTTGTTTTTCACCTAAGCTCAGCAGCATTGATAGTAAAAGCATGAACCCTTCAGATTTGTTGAAATTCAAGGGAAATGCCTGAAACAAATGAAGAGAAGGCGAGTAAATTTAGCACTTAAAGAGTTAAAAAATCAAACACGCATCAAATTAAAAAAACAAACCTTTTTCAACATCTTGTTTTGCTTATGGAAGAATTCCACCTTGATATCACCGCATACTGGCAACGGCTGAGGGAATTCAAAGTACATGTATTTGTCTTCACGTCTTGTAGGTCCTGAAGAGGAGGTGAATATCTTTACCTTGAGCTGGTAGACCACAAAGTGAGGATCTGTGCAACAAAACAATTTTACACAATGGGGTTAAAGAACCATCTTAGTTCTAAAAGTGTTGTAACAGTAAACAAACAAACGAACAAAAAAACCTTTAAAAAAGACTTTGGACAAGACTATCTAGTACTGCTTACATTATGCTGCAGTTATACCAACCCTGTATACCAACCTGGGAAAACTCCAAACTGTTCCTGTTGCTTCCACATCAGCTCAGCACAAAAGGAAAGTTGAACTGGTGTGAGATTTACCTTCTGTAGGAAGATAATACACAGGCAGTCTTACAACTATAATGGAGCCTGCTCATTAGGGTTGGAAGTCATGGCAAATGGTAAATGAACTGCCTCGTGTAACAAACAAATACCCCTGCACTCCAGGTGTGGGTCATTAAGTGGAGCTGGGGTGTGTGTGGGGGGGTGTACATGTGAGCCTGCCACACAGCTGACTGCCTTGCCAGCAAAAGAAAAAAGAAAAAAACCATCGAGAAAGGAAAATGCTGGTTGCTTTCTGCTGATGCTTTGCATCCTGCCAAGATGCCGCTGCCTTCTGGATAAAGAAGACCATTCTGAAAGCTTTGCAGTGCTTTCTGCTCCAATCAGCTGGCAGTCAGGAGACTGTGCAAAGCCTTCCTCCTGGCTCTTTCTAAACTATGGAGAAACCAGACTTTGCATGTTAAGGCAGCAACTTCAAGACAAGCTTCTCAAAACTCTCTTGCTTTAACCTCCTCACGCCCACAGAAAGCCACATTTCTTCAACAAAAAATGTCGTATTTTGAGAACTACCAATAAAGAACTAGCTAGCATCAATCTGCCGTATCAGGGTATGTCAAACCAATAGCAATGGTACTTAGACTTATATAATTGAACTGAATTGAATATATACCACTTCACAGTGCTTTACAGCCGTCTCTAAGCGGTTTTACGGAGTCAGCATATTGGCCCCAACAATCTGGGTCCTCATTTGACCAATCTCGGAAGGATGGAGGGCTGAGTCAACCTTGAGCCAGTGAGACCCCAACTGCTGGCAGCCGGTGAGCAGAAGTAGCCTGCAGTACTGCATTCCAACCACTGCGCCACCTCGGCTCTTGACAGAAAACCAACACTCAATGACAGATTTAATGTAATTTTAGAATTGCAGATAAGCAACTGTTTTATCATATTTTATAGCCGTCTTATAGCTATCACCTGTAAACTGACTGTAGTTCTGAGTTATTTATACCATCTTATAATATGTCAAAGACTTGTGACCAGGGCATATAATGGTGAGAAATATCATTTTAATGACTTCATCTGATAGAAAGTATCAGAAACTTGATCGGCAATTTAAGAAGTAAAATTAAATTACATCTAAGTTCATCTGAAAGTTAGTTTACTTTAACTATATGAAATTTACTCAGAAAAAACGTACAGGTAGCCCTCAACATACGACGTTTGTTAAGTGAGTTTTGCCCCATTTTACAACTTTTTTTTGCCATGAATCCTTGCAGTTAAATTAGTAACATGGTTAAGTGAATCTGGCTTCCTCATTGACTCTACTTGTCAGAAGGTCACAAGAGGTGATCACATGGCGCAGGACACTGCAACCGTCATAAATATGAGTCAATTGCTCAAGTCTGATTTTTGATCATGTCACCATAGTACAACTACAATGGTTGTAAGTGTGAAAAATGGACACAATCACTTTTTTTCAGTGCTGTTGCAACTTTGAACAGTCACTAAATAAACTGTTGTAAGTCAGGGACTACCTGTACATAGCAATTTAACTATTGATTTTTCTTTTTAAAAAGCTCATTATACTAATTATCTGTTCTAGTAGATATACTAAAATTAAGGGCAAGCTATAATTAAGCAAAATCTATAAAGCATATAGAAAAGCTTATGACTTAAGAAAAACCTTTGTATAAATATTATATGTTATGTCATGCCATGTCTTGTATTACTATACTATACTATACTACATTTAAATAAATAAGGATTGTAGACAGGTATCTTGCCATACTAAAATGCCTATGTTCAACCAGGAGAAGCATAACAAATTATTATCACTAGTGCTGCTGTGCATCTGCCATGAACAACTCAAGATAGACTGGCTGAATTCCCAATATTCTTTTAGACCTTATGATTACATTACTAGAATGTTGGGATCACATTCATGATACACCCTGATTCAAATGTGTAGGATATTTTGCTGAGCATACCGAAATGCTAAGGCAAAAGTTATGGAGGAATCAAATTGAACTATGGAATCTCACCTACTGGAAAATATGGAAAAATCAAAGTAAGGAGATGTTATCGATAATTGTCATGGTCACTCAAAATGAATTAGGTGAAGGGGAAAGAAGGGGAAGGAAAACCTGAGCAGGAAAAAAAAAGTGAGGGATGAAAGACTAAGAAATACATATTCCAAGAATGTGGAAGGTTATTTAAATAAAACTAGTGACTTTTTAATATTCTACTGGTAATACTTTATACATATTTCAATTTTTAGTAAGTAATATACAAACATTGCATATAATTCCACATAGTATACAACTGCTTAAAATGTTACTTACTGCAAGTGCCGCCACTGAACATTGGAATTGTTTCAAACATCATTTTATGAAACAGCAGTGCTACTGGTCTGTAATCCAGATGATTCTTTAACAGATAGCTATAATAATATACATAGCGCCTCTGACTGGGAATAGTCACTCCCTTAATAAAAAGAAGAAAACATTTATCATATATCATCACAATTTATTAGCTGAACACACTTTCATAAAGTAAAGTCTAAAAAGGAATTAGAATGATTATGGGCAGCCAAATATATCAATAAAAAGAATATTTGTAGCTCAGGGTTGAACTGTGAGGTCCTTGGTGCTGTCTGGGCTTGGTTGGCTTTTTGCAGACATCTCATTACCGAACTAGATAACATCATCAATGATAGAATGGAGTGGGGTGTGCTCTCTGTTTAAATACTAGTGGCTCATCCTGTCAATGTTGGTGGAACAACCATGCTCAGAGAGCACCAAGCGCCTAACCAATCTATCAATTTCATACATATTTTATGATAGTTTTGAATGTTTAATGTAACTCTTCCACAATGGATTAAAAAAAACCCAGATCTATTTTTCCATGAGGATCTTCAAAACATGCCTTCAGCATACACTTTCTATGCACCAAATTGCAAATAAAATTTAATCAATTCATGAGGGCAGTCAATCCACACTGGTTAGACACTTTTACAAGACATGCAGAGGAGTAAAGTATATTGAAATATTGTTGTTGCTTCGGTCCAAGTTTACACTGTGCATAGCTAAGGAAGTAGCACAGAATTGTTTGGGGAAAAAATAGTGTGCAAATAGAACGTGATTTGTAATCTAATCTACAAAATCTATTACTGTGATTCTTATCCTAAGCTTATAGTGTTATAAAAACCACATTCATCATTTTTGCACTGCAATAAAATACTACAATATTCCCATCACCACCACAATATGACTTTACATAGTAGTTTTATGTTTGGTTGAGTTTTCCAAATCCTTATATTTGGCGACAACATTGCTAACTGCAAGAAGTACATTAAAAATGGTATATGCATTATGGGAAGATATGTGGTTCTTCCTCAGTGTTATCTGTGAATTGAGTCCTCTTATTATTTATTGTTTAAAGCAAAAGCATGAGACAAAGTAGAAATAACCACACCCACATCATCGCTGAAGAATATGAGTGACATATCCTTCCTGAAGATATAGCCTGCCTACCTTATGGATTTTGACTTATTTTGTAATCTATTTTGTTTCTCATTCTTCTCTCCCCTTTCCTTGTCCTGATAATAAGGATATTATACCAATCCTGCTTTTTTTACTTCCCAATAAAATTCTCCCTTAAAATTATTTGTGTGTGTGTGTGTGTGTGTGTGTGTTCGAGCTTAGTTTTTGGGGAGGAAAATAAGGGGGAGGGGGAAGTCTGCCTCTGCCTACCAGCATCCATCAGTATTCATTTGGCTAGCATCCTGTCAGTGTGTGAGAGAGTTGAGGACTGTTTGGTAACTGAAACAATATTTGCTATGTGAGCAAGAAGGAGACAACAAGGAGCCTGGGCGTGGCTTAGCTCAACTGTTCTGTACTAAAGCTGCTTGGTGCTTTGAAACTAAAACTGAAACTCCTCTCCTCTGCTTGTGTTTTGCATTTGGACCAGATTTCTTTTCAGGTGAAGAGGGGGAGTAGAAAAGCAATTCCCATATTCTCCACTTTATCATTGTTTGTCAACTTCATCAGAAACTGATCCTGGAGATTTTTCCTCTCCCCGTAATTGATGTTGATATGCCTCACACTCATAGTATGATGATGCAGAAGTGTGCTTATGGGTATCTGCCAAATGCCATATGTCAGAAAGAACCTAAAGCTGAATTAGTTAGCACGTATGTTTCTTTAATTAATTAGCACGTATGTTCCTCTTGGCTTCTAGGTGCTCACTAAGAAAGGATTTTTTGAAATGACCATCAGAGCATTAGTATTTCCTATATTATTATTAACACGCTCTGATGCTAAGGAGTTTTCAATGTCTAGAGCAGGGATGTAAAACTTGATTTCATTGAGGGCCGCATCAGCATTGTGTTTGACCTCAGGGGGACAGGGTGGGTGTGGCCAGCTTGTCACAGGCACCTATGTGGCCCAAGTGCTCTGCCCATCAAAAACGGGCTCCCCGAGCTCCGTTTTTGGCTGCGACGGGCTCCTGCAACCCTCTGCCAGCAAAAACTGAGCTCAGGAGGGCCGTGTGTGGCTCTTCTGTGCTCCATTTTCACTGGCAGAGGCACCACGGGCCAGTTCTTTGCTGTTTCCAGGGCAGCCGTGTGGGTCAGATCTAAGCACCCCATGGGCTGGATCTGGCCCTTGGGCCTTGAGTTTGATACCCCTGGTCTAGAGTAGTTTGGAATGTGCTTGCCTTAAATGCAGGATCGTGTTCTTTTTAAGTGGATATATAGAAACTCTATTAGAAGAAGGGGGGGGGGGGAAATCCATAGGGGAAAAAAAAACAGATGACAGGCCAATTACTTCTATAATTTTAATCCGCAATAATCTTTATGAAAAACAAACATTATAGATTAAATAGTAATTTTTTGATCTAAGAAATTCCATTTTTGTCTCTTGAATACAAATGCTAATTAAAGAAATTTAATCTAAAGGCCAATTATATTCAAGATAGACTCGATACAATTGATAGCTGAAAGGTTTTGCTACATTCAATAATCTCTTATTTAGGATTATCCTAATTAAATTGGAGTATAGTGCAAAAATCAACCACAGATATTGATGTGGATGAATATTAAAAAAAGGCAAATTCTGTGCCTGAGTTCTTATCTACTGGTAAATGCATGGATGGCAAAGAATGTTTTTAGTAGAGATGTTTTGCTGTAGTATTATTTATTAAATTGATTATGTTGTCCATTTCACTCTGCAAAGTGACTACAGGTAGTCCTTGACTTACAATCACTTGTTTAGTGACTATTCAAAACTTCAACTCTGAAGAAATTCACTTCTGACAGTTTATGACCTTTGCAGCATCTCCATGGTCATTTGATCAAAATTCAGCCGCTTGGCAACTGGCATGTATTTATGACAGTTGCAGTGTTCTCGGGTCACGTGATCACCTTTTGAGACCTTCTGACAAAGTCAGTAGGGAACCTGAACTCCCTTAGAAACCGTGTTAATAGCAACTGCAGATATTCACTTAACAGTATGGCAAGAAAGGTTGTAAAGTTGGGCAAAACTCACTTAACAACTGTCTTGCTTAGCAAAGCAAATTTTGGGCTCAATTGTGATTATAAGTCAACAACTACCTGTAGTAATTTCACCACTCTTCTCTTCATAGATCTCCTGCTTTCTGCTGTGTAAATACAAGTTTTGAAAAAATGTCCAGAGATTGCAAGGTAAGTCAATACTCATCCTCCACAATACAAACTTACAGTTTTGATATTCTGAAAGCAGGTTATGTTCAGTACTACTTGAATTTACATATGGTAAACAAAACAAGTTTTTTTTTGAAGGAGGCAATGCTCTTTCATTAACATGTAGTGGTCCAAAAATATATCCAGATTGTTCAAGGAAAGTATGTAACATCAATAAGTAAACTCTTGCAAAAGTCATTTCTGCAAAACCATATCCAGACAGCACAAATCAAAGCAATTTAACTTCACAGATTGTAAAATAACATATTCCATGCAAGGTATATTCTATCCAATAAAAAATCTGCAAGAAATTTGTTTGCTTTTCTAAGACATTCTTTACACGCAGCTCGGATTTTCCACACCACCTATGTGTAACTCCAATTTTGTATAAAAAAAATTTGGGATCAGAAATCATCTTCAATAGTACTGACTTAAGATAGTTCTGGGAGTGCATATCCATCCAAGCCCTACAATACCCACTTCTTTCTGAAAGCCAAATAAAGACAAGACTTCATATGCAGAGTTCAGGAATTGGACTCAATAGCTCATCAAGAACATAAGGCTGATGAACAAAGAATGAGGACACAAAATTTCATGTGGAACTGATAAATGATACTTGCTTAGCACTGGCTAACCTCTTGGATCTCTTCCAGCCTCTAAATATTCTCTCAATCTTTCTTCTCATCCCAGTTGAATGTGATTGATACTTCTGTGACTTGTACTTCAACTGGCTATCATCATTCTCGACGTGCTGTCTTTCTCTAGTTTAGCTCTTGTTCAAACATCAAGTATTGCTTTTCAAAAAAAAGACATTCCACCTAACTTTTTACCTCAAGTGGATTACCATTCATTAATATTTCCTGAGAACCGAACATGCATGCAGGAATTGCTTAGACAAGTGGGAATAAAAAGAGTCATGGTATGGTTGGGCAAATAAAAACAGGCAAGAAATTTACTGGAAATAGGCATTGGGGGGGAGGGGGGATTTTCACCATGCAGGAGGAGTATGAAGTGCCTATCTGGTGCTAGTCGGGTGTTCACTTTGAAGGAGCTAGAAAGAAATCTGCTTATTTCTTTTCCTGTTTTTAAGGGGAGCAGATAAAACACGAAGCATTCATCTCATGCTGCTGAAGTATAATTATAATTTGCCTATATGGATTCTACAGAAAAAATGGGAGGTCACAAAAACATCCAAGCACTAGCATGGAGATTGACATGAACAGAACCACTTAAACAATTCAAAAGTAAAAACAGACTTTGCATAAAATGGGTGGATACTGAGAGGTGACAAAAAGAATCAAATGGACAAAAATGATTTATATTACTAAGGCTTAATGAGCAATTATGTTTTGAGACAGACAAGACTACACTCTTGTCAGATGGTTGGAATGAAAACAAAATTAAACTGGGTATATCTAATGATTAGTGTTTCTTTCAGTGCTATTTTAATTCTGAAACATCAAATTCACTTTTTATTTTAGGTGAGATTTTGTCTATTGCAAATATATTATTATAGGTCACTTTGAACTATCTGGCAACCCTAATAGGTTTAAGTATATCAAGATCCAATTTCCTAAAAAAATATATAGAAACATTCTCTTTAAAAACTAAAACGCTCACTGCCACAAATTCTGAATGCATAATCATCACTTTTCAAGAAAAAGTCTCTACCCAAATTTATTCATGTTTAATTGGGAATGCAGTGAACCTAATTCAAAGTACTAACAAGGTTATTTACAACTATATATCACAGATGAAGTTAAAT